AGAGTGCACCCGAGTAGGGAATCTGAACGCACCCAAAAGTGAACAACGAAAGCCGATTGAAGCGTGATATAGGCAGTGAAAGTATATCGACGAAGTTTGCAAAGTTAAGATACGTATGCATCAAAAAGTTAAAGTGTAATATATTATAAATTGTATGTAATAAGTAAAATGTAAGTTTATTTTATGTATTTATTGCATGTATTTTACGTATTATTTTATATGAAATATATTTTTTTTGCATTTATAATTTTAATATCAATAGAATATTTTATCTTTTCGTAATTTATCCTAAAGTAATCCCAGACAAGCAGACTTCCAAGAGACGTTCTAAAGACATCACTATGGCTTAAAAACATGCTGAAAAAATTCTAAAGATGTCCATTCCAAATTGGTGTTGTCTTGAGTATATTATAATATTTGTTTTTCTTACAAATTCACGTTAAATCTTTCATTTTTTACGAGTTTAGTGAAGGTTTTCATCTTTCACGAATTCATTACAAAATTTTCACTTTTTACGAGTTCACACTAGGGGAAAAGATTCATGATCACTACTCTGCTCCTGTGTTCATGAGGGGTGGGACCCGATTGACCACGATATGATTGGACACAGATTGTAATGATTGGTTCGACCTAGTAATTCACTAGATAATTCTTTTCATCGGTTGGTTGTGTCCAATCGTAACGTGGTCAATCGGGACGCTCCCGCCTGTGCTCCCAGCCTTAAATATAAGGCCTGTCTATAAATATGGGTATATGCTTTAACTATGGCTGCGTTCCGAAATTCACTGCCAGTACTGAAATTCTATAGTTCATGTCACGTATACTATAGAATTTCAGCATTGGCAGTGAATTTCGGAACGCAGCCTATATAATCATGGACCGCTAGCGGCGATTCTATGGCCGGTATTTATAGTTGGGTCTTATTTTTAAAACTGCTTAAGTTCATCTTCAGATACTCCGTAACCAATGAAATAATCCGTTCATTATCTGAAGATAAACTTTAAGATGGTTTTAAATATAAGATCTGACTATAAACACCTAAGACCTTTTGTCAACATCTGTAGCGCCGCCAGGACCAACAACGGCAAAATAAGGAACTCAATAGAACAAAACAGAGTTAGCAACGTAAACGCTTCTAATATCCGCATATCACATGGTGATACGTATTCAGTGGTGATACGTTTTCACGAAAGACAAAGGGTGCGTTCCGTTTCACGCATAATGCGCATGAAGCGCAGCGTTAGAGTGACAGAAATACGAAAGTAAGATAAAATGAGAGGGAGAGCACTCGGGTGAGGTTCTCGAATCTAGGTTAGGTTAGTTCTCGAACGCATGAACTGCATCAGCTCCGAGGTAGCGCAGTTTATGCGATCTCATGCGTTCGAGAACTAACCTAACCTAGGTTCAACAACCTCACCCGAAAGCTCTCCCTCTCTTTTTATCTCACTCTCGTATCTCTGTCACTCTAACGCTACGTTTCCACGCATGAAGCGCATGAAGCGCAGCGTTAGAATGACAGAGATACGAAAGTAAGATAAAATGAGAGGGAGAACACTCCGGTGAGGTTCTCGAACCCAGGTTAGGTTAGTTCTCGAACGCATGAACTGAAAACTATTTTTTTAAATCGTTTGTATTTTGTATGAAGAGTTTTGAAATGTAATTGAAAAGATTTGTGAGTCTATTACTTGTAATTAATTGTTCTTTTTTGGACCATGTATTTAGCCGGAAATAATGACCGGAGGTAAATTAAACAAAGGTTCGATATGGTATCGTTTGTATTTCGTATGAAGTATCATTAAAAAGGTTTGTGAGTCATTCAGATAATTTTAATTAAATATTAAAAAATTATATATTTGGCCGAAATATCGATCTCAAGCGCTGCTGTGGAAATACCGTCAGGCACGATCGGTGTATCTAGTATTTCAATATTCCTGGTTCTTTTTCGGGTAATTATGTACAATAATGGCTCCTGCACACACGACGCGGTAATGCTTGCCGCGCGGCGGAAGTTCGCGCGACAGCTAATCAATATGCTTCTTTCCGTAATAATCTTTTAGCTCTTATGGAAAAACAACATATTGATTGGCTGTCGCGCGGCAAACATTATCGCGTCCTGTGTGCAAGAGCCATAAGGCCTTTTTTTAATTTTGATATCTTTTTATAGCTCTTTTGGTAAAAATATTTATTTTGACTCCAATATTGATAATCAATCGGGTAGTACGAAAAATATGCAAGTTATATATTGTTTTAACTTTTTTTAATTTTTTTTTTCACTTGTCGAACGTTGCTGCTTTCCTACAATTTAAACAAGTTACTGATCTTTTAATCACATTATGTAATGCAAAATCGAACGACTAGCGGGGGGCTGCGCCCTCCACTCGAAACTAACCTAACTTAACCTATCGTCACATTAGCCGTTAGTGATTGTTTATTAAAAAATTATTAAGAGAAAAAGTTGAATACTTTAATAAACAATGACTGACGGTTAATGTGACGATAGGTTGGGTTAGATTAGTTTTGAAGGGAGGTACGGGGGGCTGTGCCGCTAGTCGTTTGATATTGCAGTTACATAATATGATTAAAAGATCAGTAACTTGTTTAAATTGTGGGAAAGCAGCAACGTTCAACAAGTGAAAAAAAAATAAAAAAGTTAAAACAATATATAACTTGTATATTTTTCGGAATCCCTCGATTGATTATCAATATTGAAGTCAAAATAAATATTTTTATCAAAAGAGCTGCAAAAAAATATCAAAATTCGAAAAAGGCCTTATTATACATAATTACCCGAAAATGAACCATGAGTATTGAAATACTAGATAGTACACCGATCGTGCCTGACGGTACTTCCACAGCAGCGCTTGAGATCTTTATGTATTGGTCGATATTTCGGCCAAATATATGATTTTTTAATATTTAATTAAAATTATCTGGATGACTCACAAACCTTTTTAATGATACTTCATAACTCTTCATACGAAATACAAACGATACCATACCGAACCTTTGTTTAATTTACCTCCGGTCATTATTTCCGGCTAAATACATGGTAAAAAAAGAACAATTAATTACAAGTAATAGACTCACAAATCTTTTCAATTACACTTCAAAACTCTTCATATAAAATACAAACGATTTAAAAGAATAGTTTTCCAACCGGAGTTTTTTTTCCGGTCAAGTACATACAAATAAGTAGTTTAGTGAACTGTTGCATTAATGGCTTCTGCATACAGGACGCGGTAATGTCTGCCGCGCAGCAGAAGTCTGCGCGACAGCCAATCAATATGTTGTTTTTCCGTAAGAGCTAGAAGGTTATTACGGAAAGTAGCATATTGATTGGTTGTCGCGCGAACTTCCGCGTCTAGTATGCAGGAGCCATAAGTTTTGCTGCACCGTTGGAAAGAACAGTAATGGCTCCTGCACACAGGATGCGGTAATGCTTGCCGCGTTCTATGTGCAGGAGCCATAACGTCACTTCAGCTAGAAAGAACGCACCAGTGTGCACTTCTTGAACTAATGCAAGAAGTTCAGCTGGAAAGAACAAACCTCTTATATTTTGAGAAGAGGTTAGAACTGTTGTAGAGTTGTCCTAATTTACCGTTTTATTTTGTTTATTGTTATTATACTAGTATATAGAATAAATGTTTAACAATTAAGTAAAGTGTATGAAAGACATATTTGTTATTTAATGTGTACAATAAATGTAGATGTACTTCTAAATATAAAAAAAAATATAATATATGCGTTTAATTTGAAATTTAAATAGCTTTTTATGTAACGAAAGTATCGTACATGAAGTACAATTATCTTTTCCTTAATTATAACATAGATTTTCCATATACATTAAGTATTAATTTAAAACAAACTAATGAAATGCATTAATTTTTATATTGGAAGTAATTTTTAAATTTATTTTAAATATAGCGATATTTTCGATGGGCAAAAAGAGAAATTTTCAACCACCACCGGTAATGCCAGGGCGAGTAAAAGTGGAGATAAAAGATGAAATTGGTAATGCCTAAAAATATAATACTTTGAAATACATACTAAGTAGTATAAAGCTAGATAGTAAATAACCTCTATCAGTAATTCTTAGATATAATGTAAGTTTTATTTTCATATAGGAGACAGCGATGTACTTGTAGCAAGAGATCGTTTAAAAGGTGCTCTTCGTGAATTATTACAACATAGTGATACAGGTTCCTCAGCAGAATCGAGTGAAGAAAGTCCTGCTCCCGATTATAAGCAACAAATCAAAAGAACGTAAGTTTTGACTTATTTTCATGGTTACATGATGGTATCATTTCATAATAATATATTTTTCATTAATCATACAATATGTGCAGTACTAAAGTCATGAATTTTCCTCAACCACGGAAGATTAGACGTCGTCGTCAAATACAAGTTGATACATCATTTCATCATACGTATGTGATGAAATTATTTGATCGCAGTGTTGATTTAGCTCAATTTCAAGAAGATACACCACTTTATCCCATATGTCGCGCTTGGATGGCTAATCAACCAAGGAACCCTAACTTGGTTCCTAAGTATGTAACATCTGTGTATATTACTTATCTTCATATTTACTCAATTTTCTTGAGTTTTAGTTGGTCAGACTATTTTAGAATAAATTTTTGTTATTTGGAGTAATTGTTTATCATTGTGGCACTTTGTTTTCTTTATGTATATCTTTGTGATTATATTGTGTAATATATGTATATCTTTGTGATTTCTAAACTACATATAATATATGAAATATTTGAGTGAATACAGTATATGGTTAAACATTATATAAAAGAGGAAAAGAAATCTTTATAAACTTTAAAAGGAATCTTTATATTTTTTACATAAAAATTTTAATTCATTTAAACACATTTCTTTATATATTTTCATAGAGTACGCAGCCCGAGCCCAGAAATAGTGAATGAAGTTAACATGGGGAATAATTTGCTCGATGCAAATGGAGAATTAAATGATATCCATTATTTGCCACCACCTTTGCCTTGTGAAGAGGCTATACCAAAAAACCGTATTCCATCTCCTGTACTACTTAGAGAGAAGGATGAACTGAACTTAGATTATGTGAGTCAATGACTTAGACAAATATGTATAAAATTCAAACTTATATTAAGAAAATGAGACTCATGAACACATTGTGTTAAAATTTTAAAAATAAGAAAAGATATATATTATAAATATTCTCTATGTTAACAATAATATATATTATTATGAATATAAATTATACATAACATATTACAGGACGGACACACTCTCAAATCGCGAGAGACATTAATGAAAGAACATACTGCACGATGGAATGTTATTCGCAAAAAGTGGCATCATCAAGCACATAAGAATGAGCTACGTTTTATAGAAAGCGCAAATATACTGAGCACCATTTTTAAAAAGTTAGTATAAAAGATGTTAATTATATAGAAAATTTTTACGATAAAAAAATTATAACGGTCTGTTAATATATTAGGTTTTACATAATGTTACTACTTCTAATATCGTTAGAATATCGTCTAGTATGGTTATCACGATGCCTCTATTACGATATTTTTACATTTCAGGGCACAATCAGAGTTTGAATAACCGAGACGAAAGAGCAGCGATCCAACACTGCCAATTTTTTCGTCATTGATAGTTTTTATTATGTCATCAAGGAGTAATTTCTTATTTATTATTTTTCTACACGTTTGCTTATCGGGGTGAATGTATGAATGCAAGGGATGATTATATACGTGTTATGTGTGTATATATATATATATATGTCAATTTTTTTTTTTAATTTATAATAGGTAAAAATGTAATCATGTTTTTTAATCAACGTTTCTCCCGATAACAAATAATTATTACAACTCTTGTAGATTTTCTTTTTTTCATTAATAAAACATGCAAATAAAGAAATGATTAATTATTTTCTCAAAACAGATAGTATTTCAGTAAAACTATAAAAGAAACATATGTTTATGTATAATATATGTGTGTGTGTGTGTGTGTTTATATATATATATGTATGTATGTATGTATATATATACACTTTTATTAGAATGCGACATTTCATAAGAATTTTAGAATAACCAAATTTATCGGTTTTCCAAAAAGTGATCATAATTCTCACACAATATCACGTTTGATGGAGAAAATTGATGACATATAATAATAATTTTCCAATAGCATATATGAACAGAACAACGTATAAAAATAAGATTTACTTATTCGATATCGAATAATTAACAATATATAATATTATATAACACATGCTAATCTTATATCCTTATAATTTATATTATTTTAAATTTCGGAAGAGATTGAACACTTAAAAGTGCTTATAGATTATATATAATCCATAATATTTCATACAGAATGATTTCATTATAAATACGAAAACGGATTCCGTTGAAAATGTGTTTAGTTTGATTTATAAAGAGATATTATGATTATTTGCCTGCATTATTTAATTGCAACTATTAATGTATGCATTTTTAAAAATTTATAGAAACTAAAGCCGAGGAGGAAGGATAAAACGAATAATTCTTGAAGGCTTGAGAATTACACGCTTTTTATTCTAGATTCTAGATATTAACAGTCGCGTAACTTACATTATTTACTTTCATTTAATAGGATTCTCACACAAACACTGTTTGATTGTTTGTCGATTGTAAACGCATTTCTTTTAAAGAGCAATTGTAATTTTCAAGACTTCTTTTACATACTTGCTGCGATGTCTACGTTATTGAAGAATTTTGTCTCATATAAAATGTAACTAAGAAATAAATAACATAATTTAAATATATCATTCATTCGTTCAACTACTACTATGCTATTTTTCTCTATCTTTTGACTTGTATTATGTAACTGGGTATACTTCAATAACAAATGTTTATTATAAGCAACATTATTACCTCTTAATGCATTTTGCAATTCATGAATTGTAGGAAATGACATTTTTGTATAGTCTCATTTTGATAAGACTGGAAGATTTTCTTTCACATCTTTCTTGAAGTATACTTCAATGAATATTTTCTCTGACTGTTGTGTGCGCGTGCGCGCGCGCGCGCACACACACACACTCTCTCTTTTTAGAAGTTCACTTGTCTGTTAAAGACAGCTCCAACACTTGACGGAACGTTTCCTCTTCCAGCAATCGCCGTTGCTCTTCTTCTATTTGTTGTTGCTCGGAAAGTTTTAACGCTAATCTTAATTGTTCGGCTGTGCCCTCAAGGGAATCACTATCTTCATTTACAGTAGTTGAATTCGCAGTACTTTCGACCGATCCTGCTGTTTCTTGATATAAGACTAAACTAGCTTGAATTGCCCTATGTTAAAAGAAAACGTGTCACTTAAGTATAATTACTTTTAAATATTTTAGCAAAATTACTATTTACAGTTATTTGAGGCTATAATTATAATTGAACAATGCTTATTACACACAGTCTGTATATATATAAACCGTTTTATTAATTCTAATTTACCCACAGTTAATATTTATAACAATCACCCACCTGCCTAAACATGAATTGTAGCAGGAAAACACATGCAAAATTAATAATAAAGAATTTCAATCATATAAAAATAATATAAGTAACCGAACAGACACATAGAAATAATAAAATAGAAAATCAAGATAGTATTAATTCTCTTCTATATGTACTTATTACATACCTCTGCAGCTGTCTTTCTTCCTCAGAGCTCATATTAGGTGTAGTTGGTCTGGATGGCTTTTGAGCTTTTAATGCCTCCCATATATCAACCTTTATATAAAATAAACGATAATTATATATGATATATTACGCACGCACGCACGCACATATATATACAGGGTGTCCAAAACCTTCCTTGCAACAATTCGTGGGAAAGTAGAACGAATTAAACGGAGCAGAAAAGTCAAATATCATTTTACGAAATTCGCAATAGTTAATGAGGAATTCATTATTTTATCTGAGCTAATCAGCGCACGAGAAACGGCAGCCGAAAGAAAGATGTCTTAGGCCGGCGTGCTACGAGACTCAAGCGAGACTTGAGAGAGAGAGAGAGAGAGAGAGAGAGAGAGAGAGAGAGAGAGAGAGAGAGAGATATCCGTGTACCGAATGCATATATGCGTTAAATGTATCAAGCCTTGCTGTGTCTTATAGCTATAGGCGGAGGGACGCAGCATATCGCGATTCGCGAGTATCACGGTCGCGCGTTGGCCGAAGACATCTTTCTTTTGGCTGCCGCTTCCTGTGCGCTGATTAGCTAAGACAAAATAATTAATTCCTCATTAACTATTGTGAATTTTGCAAAATGGTACTTGACTTTTCTGCTCCGTTTAATTCGTTCTACTTTCTCACGAATTGTTGCAAGAAAGGTTTCGGACATCTTGTGTGTATGTATATGTGTGTGTATATATATATGCATATTAAGTAAACAGTACCTCATCACGTTCACTACCAGCTTCCAAAAGACTTTGCTGAATAGCAAACTGTAGCAAATCGTCTTCTTCTTCGATACTAAATTGTGTTCTAACTTCTGCACCTATATCCAATCAGCATTACAAATTAAGCAAAGCAGTATATTAATTGAAGAATAATACATATAAGTGCAAAATAAAAATTACCCAATTTAACATATCCATTGGGAGCTTCAAAACAAATATCATCAACTAAACAAGTTATACGATTAGTTTCTTGCAAATGACCTACATGGGGTACTTCTTGATCTAAGCCGAATATATTTCCAAAGGTTATCCTTGCATTGAGAATATGGAATAATGGAATTTCTAAGAAAAAAGAGAATAATTGTTAATAATTGTTCTGTATTCAATGTATGTTCATATTCAATACTATAATGCATATATCTATCTTATTAACATCAAGAACTTACCAATTTTAACAGGGAAACCAGCTGGAAGTTGCATTTGAATAAAATCTTTTAATTTAGCAAAATGTGAACTAGATATAGCCATTAAATCTACGATTGGCATGATTTGTTCTTGGAGACTTAATGGATATTCCTCACTCAACCATAAAGTTGCCTTAAAATAAAAAAAAAAAGATGAATTGTATATAGATGTGTGTATAAGAGCCTTAGTGCATATATGTATAAAGTGATCCACATAAAGTGACAACCCAAAAACTCTAAAAATATTTGTATCAAAATAGTATCAAAAAGTTGCTTATGAGAAAGTTTTATGTATTCGAGGAATCTTTCTGTAAGTATATAAATAAAAATTAGCTGTTGCTCGCCCTTGAAAAAGGACGGAGGATAACTTCGTAATTTTAAATGGGACCTCCTATAATGTTCACATAGTTAAAAAGACCCTTTGAATACATAAAATATTTTTATGAATAACTTCTTAATACAATATTTTTAAAATTTTTGAATTGTCACACTTTACATGGGATACTCTATATATAATATGATAATATTATAAATATATTTATGTACACTATGTAAAAACATGTGAAAAACTTGTCGGAATTTATAGTCAGAAATATATTATTAGAATATAATTATCTCGACTTAGTCGATTATGTCGAACCATATACATAATTTATAATACCTTAAATTTCTGTATTTTTGTATTAACTTCCTTTGGTCTACCTATATCCCTCTCATTTAAATCAACCTCTGAATCAAAATATTCCTCAGCAGTGATGTTGCAGGGATTACCTATATTATTATATTCTTCCTGAAATACACAACTTAATTAATACGTTTTAAAATTTTAAACAAGAGCAACTGGTTTAGTCAGAAATTACTATGAAAAATAAAGTTACACTAGTGGTGATAGCGCTGCAGTTCTCTTGCTGATCCGTGATACCAAGAAGCGACTGTAAAGGTGTTCTTGGTGGGCGAGCTCTCGCTTTATCCGCTTCGGATAAGTGTTCTAATCGAGTTTTAGTTATTAATTCCACGTTACTTGCACTGAAGACTTTACACTCGTGACCATTTATTATCTCACTTTTGTCCGAACGCCATCCCCATATACCTGCTTTATTGCTAATTTGACATAAGTAATATTGAAATAAATGGAGTTGGTTATTATAAACTTTACTATAATAACAAATATAGTTACCGTTCAAAACTAATTTTATCTGTATCTATGTATGTCGTAACTATAGGATTGGTAAGACGAGCTATCACGCCCTCTTCAGAAGGTTCCATTAATTGTACATTATCATCTCCTATAAGTTTCATGTGTTCAACATACACTTTTCTTGTCTCATGGTCTACTTCCATCATTGTCGCCCCGTCGTCTATAAAAATAATTTTATTATTTTACTTATAAGAGTAATATTTTACACATAGAATATAGAAATCATAATTTCTATTTGTTCGAATTTATTATTAAAAAAAATAAGTATTTATATATTACTATTTAAGATCTGTTAAACAACCATATAATTATTAATCATGTCTTTACATTATATACACATATATCAAATATATCTAATTAATAAATATTTATAGCTTATTGGGAAAGTTTTACTGCCTTACTGCATTATCACCTTATTGTTACATGATTGTTACACCTTAATGTTACATTTTATACAAATATATATTACATGCAAGTAATATATGTACTATTTTAATTGTTTAAAATTATCAGTTTACCAACATTTCTATTACAATTAACTATAAACTAATGAGACAAAATAAAAGAAACAAAAGAAATATTCAATCTATTAAGAGTGTATTTATAAAATATTAACATTAATTATTTCGTGTTTAAGCATACTAAAGTATACACTAAGTTCTAGCAATACAGTGCATAAATTAAAAGTTCAGATTGTATCACCTGTATCATGGCCACTCATGCTGAACACATAACTGCGTTCGCATCTAATTGCCACAGGTGGATTTGATGCAGCTTGCATTAATATATAGAATTTAGTAATAAACAATTATACAACAATTTCAAAACATAACAATTACAATTAAAACAAAGTTATAAAATAATCATGCACAAACATGTGTGTGTGTATATATATATGAGTATGTTAAGGTACTTTATTGAAGGTATCTATACTTACTTTGTCCTTTGAAGACATAACTACGACTCCCACGTTGCCAACTTGCGTGATCAAAACCTAATAGCGTAGTATCAATCCTCACATTACTACCTTGTTTGTAAACTTTATAGGTATCACTTGGACACATCCGAGATGCGAGAGGAACTGGTCAACAGAAACAATGACAGTTAACTATGTATGTTACTAAAGAATTAAAGTATATATTGTAAAGTTATATATATATATATATATATATATTAAAGTTAAAATTAAAAACGTAAGTTGCGAATTAAACTGATGGCATAATGGATTTATTAATACATTTTTAAAAGCAGATATTATGAAGACCTCCATTCCTTACCCCAACTCGCAAACTCCCACTTCATTTCTACGTAAAAATCGGGCGCCTGAAAAGAACTTCTGTTACTAAGGCTATCACATTAGCAGTGAAGAATATAAAAAAAATCAATATTATAAGCTTGTTACATAACGATCCACACGCACATACAAGAAACACTTAGGTTAACATTAATTATATAGAAGTTGCAGAGAAAAATGTCTTTTCTAGTGGAACATACTGCTTATTTGTTTATGTAAATATATCAAACCAAACTTTTTGACTTATTTAATGCATACTACAATTTTTGCATACATATACACACACATATATATGTAAAAATTATATATAACATTAGATGAGTCAAAAAGTCTAGTTCGATATTTGTTCTTTGATAAATTAGCTATATTTTACAATATGAATATTATCAATGATAGATATTTATATATCTATTTTATAACAGATGTATGAATATTATCAACGTTGACAAAGAATTACAGATAACGACAATGATTATTTATTGTAACAATGATTATTTGTGATAATTGACGTGAATAATTTATTTGCATTAAATGAAATAAAATAAAATTTGATTAAAAAAATGGACTGAATTTTTTTACTAATATGTGGTATCTTACAATATACTTAAACTCTTATTTACATATAAATTAGGTCAAACTAAACAAAAAAATTCCTCTATCATTTTATAAATAATTACATTAAATTTTGAATTATTAATTAAAGAAGACTAATGGATGATCACACGTGATACTGTAGATGAGTTATAATGATGATGTTTGCTATATTGAGCCTGTACATTAGAGCCCAAACTGAAGAAAAAAATCTTCTATCATTCTGCAAATACATAGATTTTATCATTAATTGAAAAAGACTGGCAAACAATTGTGTGCATTTATTGATTAGTCTTCTTTAATTAACATGTTAATTAATGTACGTCATTATTTGCGAAATGGTAGAGATCTTTTTTTAGTTTGACTTCAGTTTGACTTAATGTACAAGCACATGACAGCAGATATCGCCATCACAGCTCATCTATCGTAACACGCGTTATTCATACGCATATACAGAAACACACACATACACATATATTTATGAATCTCCTTTAATAATTGAAAGTTTTACATGGTTATTTTATAAATGGTAGAGGATTTTTTGTTCAGTTTGATGTAATCTACAAGTAAATGAAAGTTTTATATGTTATCGTTGACATTTTGTATATATAAATATGTTAAATTATTTTTTGTTATTAATATTTGTTACAATATTTCTTGTTACTAACTATTACATAGTAACTAACCTGCTTAAGTTTGTGAAGCAATTCTGGTATACCAGCTACTCGATTACAGTACCTCTGATAATCTCTTCGGGCTAGCACCATTTGCAACAGTTCAGGATTTCCTGTCCCTACTGCTTCTTGAACAACTATATTTAAAAAGATTAAATCAGTTGTTAATGGATTCTCTGATATAAGTAAATAGATATTATTTTTACAAAAATAGAAAATAGAAATTTTTCCTATACACATATAAACATGCATATACTATATACTATATACTTATTCTATATGAATCTATTCTATAAAAGATTAAGTATGAAAAAGAATTACCACTCCATCCTTGAGTATTCTCTGTATTAACATTGGCTTCATGATGTAACAGCACTATAGCAGAATCTGTATGACCTAAAGTTACTGCCAACATCAACGGGGTCCTTCCGCGATTATCATGTTTTTCTATATCATGCTGAGGAATATTTAAGTAACAATATAATTTTACATATAAAATTAATATTTCATATTATAAAATTTTACAAATAACATAAGAAAGTCAAGTTAACATATATATTTTGAATATCTTGATCATGCTGTTTAATATTATCATGTGTAATATAATAAATAATTATTAAAGATATTTAATTGTATTTTAATAGTGTCTAATTTCAGAGGTTGCAGATAAATATAAAGATAAATACAAAGATTTTCTTTTTCATGATAAGCTTCAGATAAATCTTTAAAAATATTCTTGCTATGTATTCTTAAATTATCTATACAGGATAGTCCAACTAAGAAATAATATACTTGAATAAGAATTAAACTCTTTAAATTTTAGAGTAATATATATATATATATATATATATAGATATATATATATATATATATATATAGATATATATATATATATATATATATAGATATATATATATATATATATATATAGATATATATATATATATATATATATATATATATATAACATTGTACAAAAGTGATAAAAAGAATATATTAAAAATACTCTAGACTAATATGTGACAATCGACTCAAATTGATATATAAAAATACACGACATTATAAGAACATTATAAGACATTATAACAGATCTCTTCAAATCATAATTGATATATTATAATAACAGGTAATTACGTAATTGATATAACGTTAAATTAATATTGTAATTTATAATGTTAATTTAACGTTATATCAATTACGTAATTACCTGTTATTATATCAATTATGATTTGAAGAATCTGTTATCATTGATAACCAACCGAGTTAATGCAAAAAACGTGTAAAATAATGTTTGGTGAATACAAAGGAAATGTATGTTCAACGTTAAACACGTGTACGGTTTCATGTAGACATAAGGATTCTAATTAATATCGAATGAGATAAGCTTGTTATAACAAGAATGCAAACCTCATTTGTGGATAGTTCCTTGTCGAGTTCTACATAGCTATTATGCCAAACGAGCCAGTGCAGTGGATAATTTTTTCGTATGGTATCTGTATTCACCATTTCTACAAAATTTGATTGACGTCACATACAATGCGTTTATTGTAACAAATACCACGAGCCAAATGTACAATACGAAATTTTGACAGCGGGATACATGATATTAAGCGAGTGAGGACTATTGGTCGTTGAATGTGCGATGCTTAGGTCTGCGTGTGTGTATCATATTCGAAGATATTGCAGTAATGATATAAAGGGTTGTCTACAATGCGGCAGTAAGCCGGTATCACCATAGACATAGGCCAGTATTCAGTCCAATCTTATATTTAAGATCACCTTAAATATTGTCTTAAAATGTCATGAACCAATCACAGAGCCGTATTCGTATCTTAAGACATTACTTAAGATAGCTTGAAATAAGATTTGACTATAAATACCGGCCATAGGTGTGTTCGCGAAGACACTATTTAGCGCTACGTAGTGCTACAGACTGTTCGCGAAGCTAAGCAGTAGCGCTACCAAATTATTAAGGCATTCTACAATAGCTGTAAGAATATGGTTGTAAGACTATAACGTGAGCTATCAGCGAAAGAAAATATTTAATTTCGAGTCTTAGGGCTATCGCACACAAATTGCATATGCATAGCATAAGACCGTATGTACCAATGAGCATCGAGTATTAAGTCGCCATATTGGTGTTCGATGCTTAATATTCGATGCTCATTGGTCCATACGATCTTATGCTATGCATATTCAGTTATGTCAATTTGTGTGCGATAGCCCTTACAGCCTTACAGCCATATTCTTACAGCTATTGTAAAATGGCCTTTAGCGTGTTCGACTGGCCTTGAGTTAATCGCTTCGAGAGCGATTAATGACGTCATAAGTCTCTACTAGCCAATTATAAAACTTATAAATACTTGTTCGACCAATAAACGTAGGCTGAATAACCCAAAGTGGATTAATCCAGAGCCAATCGAACATGCTATAAATCATGACTCACTAAAGGGACGTCTACATTGGAAGTAAGCAGTAAGAAGTAGGAAGTAAGAATAAGAAATTGACCAATCATAGTTGATTATTCTTCTCACATTCGACTGTGGTTGGTCAATTTCTTAAAGGACATCTATATTGGAAGTAAATAGCAAGAAGTAGGAAGTAAGAGTAAGAAATTGACCAACCACAGTCGAATGTGAGAAGAATAATTAACTATGATTGGTCAATTTCTTATTCTTACTTCCTACTTCTTACTGTTTACTTCCAATGTAGACGTCCCTTTACTCTTACTTCCTACTTCTTGCTATTTACTTCCAACGTAGACGTCCCTTAAGGGTGCGTTCCCACTTAGCGTGTCGTCTGCCAGCGTCACGAGTTAACCAATCAAATCCTTTAATTGGGATGACGCAACGCACGACGCACTTGTTCCAATGGAACGATTTGATTGGTTAACTCGTAACGCAGGCAGACGACGCGACGCGTGATGAGCTCAGTGGGAACTCAGCCTAAGGGTGCGTCACACGTCGCTTCGTCCGAGTTAAACTAGAGAATCTCTAATAAAGAGAATCGTCAAGCAGCTATTCTGCGATTGGCTGGCATAAACATGTACAGACCCGGACATTGCGATACCAATGCAAAACCATATATATATATATATATATATATATATATATATATATATATATATATATATATATATATAGGGTGTAAAAAAATTAGACCGATAAACTTTGAGGAGAAATAGAGGACATAAAAACAAATATATTTTGTTAATATTGTTTTTCTCTACGGCGCTTCATTTTAATACTACAGGGTAATACTACAAAATAGAAATTTTTTTATTTTAATAAAAAACAAACATATAAGTGGAAAAATTAAATTTATTTCAGTTACACATATATATTTTAATCTTCAAAAAACAATAAACAAAAGAACAGAACAAAACCGCTCGAGTCACAGCGCGGCCCAGTAATAAAGCGCGCGGATATCGCGCGCAGTGATTGGAAGACAATGCCTATACTTATATCGCTGCGCTCCTACATCTTGCCGCACCGCGCCGAGATAAGAATAGGCAGTGGTGCATTGTCTTCCAATCACCGCGCGCGACATCCGCGCACTGTGACTTGAGCGGTCCGTCCTCTACCATTCAGCGTGCGTTTTTCCTTAATCTTTTTTAATTAATATCTCGACTATTATTGCGAATATCGTAAAACGGTATAGGACTTTTATGTTTATATCAATCCATTCTACGTCCTCACAAAATGCCTGGAGGAGAGTGTGAGACACCCTGTATATATATACAGGGTGTTAGTTAAGTATGTTGCTATATTTAACAGAGCGATTCTTTGGTCTATTTCAAGTAAAAAAGTTTATATAAACATGTGTCCTAAACGGCTTAGTTTTCGAAATAAAAAAATTTAAACGTGTAGTAATAATCTGTTTCGTTTAGAACAGCTTCCTCTAGTACTGGGTAGTGATCATGAATCTTTTCCCCTAGTGTGAACTCGTGAAAAGTGAAAATTTTGTAATGAACTCGTGAAAGATGAAAACCTTCACTAAACTCGTGAAAACTGAAAGATTTAACGTGAATTTGTAAGAAAAACAAATATTATAATATACTCAAGACAACATCAATTTGCAATGGACATCTTTAGAATTTTTTTAGTATGTTTTTAAGATATAGTGTATGTA